AGGATCGTCAAACTAATATATCTATGATATGATGTATAATGAATATTTAAAATTTGAACATAATCAGTCAAAACAATATATTGGAGATATGGCACGAGAACCACATTGATTAATACAAAATGGCCGCCAGTCGGCCATTTTGAATGTTATCTGAAAAACAAAATTATTTGCATCAAGGTCCCATAATGTCTAATGTATATACCAAGTTTGAGCAAAATCCATCTGTAAACAGCCGAGAAATGGTTGCTTTTTATGATTTTTTAGCACAAACATGGCCGCCATTCGGCCATCTTGAATCAGATCGTAAAACAAAATGATGTGCATCAAGGTCCTATAATGTCCAACGTTTATACAAGGTTTGAACAAAATCCATCTGTAAACAACCGGGAAATGCTCGATTTTGATGATTTTTAGCACAAAAATGGCCGCCATTCGGCCATCTTGAGTCAGATCATGAAACAAATTGACGTGCATATGTATGATATCATGTATGATGTATGTGTGAAGTTTGATTGTGATTGGTCCAGGCATTTTTAAGATACAGGTCCGGATGCACGCACAGACGCACGCACGCACGCACACACGCACGCACGGATGTCAAAACATAAGTTCCCGTTTTCGGACTGTGTCCGAACGGGGACTAATTAAAGAAAGCCTAGAAAGAACTCCTGTGTGCTGAAGATATTGGAGGCATGAAGTACAAATAAGGAATAATGTATTTACTATATATATTTACAGTTAGAACATTAGCTTCTATTAGAGCAAAACAAATATAAAAATATAACTGTAAGCAATGATCAGGAATCAAGTAGATAGGGATTAACAATAATAAATATTTAATGAAGTCATGACTATATATGATGACTTGATATGTTGGTCATATATCTTTTCAGACAACAAAATTATAGCACAAGTTACAGTACTCTGCAACATACTTAAGATATTACAGTTATGCATGTTATTGAGGTCACATGATCATATATAGTCATCTGAAACATTAGTCATATCATGTTGGTTATGCAAAACAGTTAACTAATATGCACAGATTTTTATGTGAAACTGATAAGGTCTGTATATTGTTCCATAGGATCCATGTACCAAGTTTCATTGAAATAGGATGATTAGTCACCGATTAGTACTTGAGATATCAGTGGGAAAGCAAATTAGGTGATTAATAAGCACATACGTTTACCCAAAACAAATTAGATTTGTACATAATCCTAGAGCATATATGTACCATGTTTCATTGAAATGTAATGAATAGTATCGGTACTTGAAATATCAAAGTCAAAAATTTACTAATAATGCAAATTAGGTAATTAACATGCAAAGATATTTGCCTAAAACTAATATAATTCTGAACTCTACTTGTCAAGACGAGTAAATTGATATGCATCTTAATAGGATTGGACCATTTTTAAATTTTTGACAAAAATGGGCAAAAAATGATTTTTAAGTTTGGCATCGCCCCTGACATGAAACCTTGTTATACAAGGACGTGATTTAGCATAGATGCCTGCTTGTAACAAAACATAGTTGAACTCTGGTGGCCTTGCCCTTTGTTATATAATATAATTCCCTTTATCATAGTTTGTTTCAATATAAATATGCATTGTCATAATTAATTTTGAATACAAACAAGTTTTAGGGTTGAACCAACAGTGGGGAATCAGTCTACCGAATGTCCTTAAAAGATGTAAATATCTTACAAAAACATTGGTGCCTTATTTGTTTAATTATTTTAAGGAACATAATTTCCAGCTTTATTCAAAGTAATTCAGATATTTTAGAATAAAAACAAATGTCTCATTGCAAAAAAAA